TTCTCAATATTTATGTACCAAAAGAGACTAACATTACTAATGTGTCTCTTAATTCTCAATATTTATGAACCAGAAAGAGACTAACATTAATAAGGTGTCCCTTAATTCTCAATATTTATGAATGAGAAAGAGACTAACATTAATAAGGTGTCCCTTAATTCTCAATATTCTATGAACCAGAAAGAGACTAACATTAATAAAGTGTCCCTTAATTCTCAATATTCTTTGAACCAGAAAGACTAACATTAATAAAGTGTCCCTTAATTCTCAATATTCTTTGAACCAGAAAGAGACTCACATTAATATTAGGTATCAATATATATGAACCAGAAAGAGACTTACAATAAATGATTTGTCTTCTTTTTGTTCACAATTTGTGATCCATCAGATGTCTAAAATATACCATTATAGTCATGCTCATTCTAATAAGTCTCTACAAAACTGAAAAAATGTCTGATATTCTTACATTTCGATATGACTAAGAGATTGACTTTTCATCAACTACTCACTATCACTTGATATCTCAGTTTAAAATGTAATTATCGTAGCATTTAACTCAGGGAAAGATAAGTGATCTGAAATGTCTTAAATCTATCCACTTTTGGTGGTGACATAATAATGTAATGTTTATGTGTAACTAACATATCATTGTAAATTGAAAATATTAGAGTTATAATAAAAGACAATAATGACAGCTGTTAGCCCTTTAGGTAATGATGATATGCATCATATATGCGTCACAAGTTCGGTCAAGAGTAGTCTAATTACAAGTCCTGGAGATTGACTGCAATATTTGATGAATAAGGCTGCGATAACCAAAGAGTGATGTCACACATTCAAATTGCGATCGTTTGATGGATGAGGCTTGTGATTTGAGTTTTCTGGATAAAGTAGTCTTCCATTAGACATAAGGGATAGTCTAGGATGTAAAACTTTATCCTTTTGGGCTTTGGTTAGACAAAAAACATATTTGGTGTCTGGCTGTTCTTGTTTTTTATTTTGAAACATGGCTGATGGTTACGATAAATTTTCGTTTCTATTTTTCGATTCATTCTGCAGGGGTACAACAAGTGCGACAAGCCAAAAAACTTGAACGTGTTTGACAGAAGAAAGTAAATCCTGATTTTATTAATTATAGTCAATGGTTCAAATGTCAATACCCCCCTCTCTCTCCCTCCATAAAAAATAAATACAAATAAAACCTGAGAAATTATTGACCTTAAAATAGGTATCTTACGACACCCTCTGAGCTAAAATGCTGCATTCTTAATTCCCAAGTTAAATCATCAAGCTTTTTCAAAAAATTTGTTCGACCTTTCATTGATAAATCAAAGAATTCCAAACATTGCAGACGAGACAATTGATCTTTTTGTATTGATAAACAGTCTGTTTCCTTACATGATTTCCTTCAAATGCACTGCCTCAGGTGAATTTATCAATAATATATGGAATCATCTTTTATTTATATATTTGTTTTACCTTGAGGATGTGCTCCATGATCAATTAGTCATAAAGATTGGTATTATATAAAGTGTTTTTTATAAATATTGTGAACTTCATTAAATATCTTTATAGATAAAACACAGAACCTTGTTTCTCACTAATTCAATCCCTGGAAATAGAAGTTGAATTTATATGGAAGTTTAAGAGACACAGAATGAGTCTTTAGAGACACATTCTGAGCGACACATGTAATAGATCATTTTGAAACATGTAATGACAATTCTGCTCTAGCCTCTTGTTTCTCAATATAAAATATGTATAGTACTGTATTATAATTGGCAATAAGTCTTATGATAAAGAATATATTTCAATTTTATTGGAAAATATCGGAACAGTCTGAGGGGTTAAATTAATGTAATACAAAATTGTTCCTACATGCAATCCTAAAGAAACCAAACACCATGTAACGTGATCAAAATTATGTCCCATTACAGAAATAAGAGCAAATAGAAAAAAATTCCAATCAACAGAATGATCTCTACATTGTATATCTATCAATGAAATTACACAAAAATGCAAATACTTGATCTTCGTGTAATAAATTTCAAAGTAAAATCAAATCAATGAGCATTTAACATGACAAACTACTTATTCAGGTCAACTTAACCTAATAGTAATAATCTTCAATTCTAGATTGTGATCTAAAACTATATCATGATTATGTTGAACTGCTGACATAACCAATCATTTCAAAGTTCACCCTTGTTCAACTGTGCATGACTATACAGTAGAACCCCTCTGGAAGTGGAACACCTCTGGAAGTGGAACCCCTCTGGAAGTGGAACACCTCTGGAAGTGGAACACCTCTGGAAGTGGAACACCTCTGGAAGTAGAACACCTCTGGAAGTGGAATACCTCACAAGTGGACCAGTGTTTTTAAAGTCCCATGATCTATCTACTCCATGTTAATGAACCTCTGTAAGTGAAACACCTCCCAAGTAGAGCACTTTTTTGTGGTCAAGGATATTCTACTTAAAAACTACTGTAGTTGTATGCAGCGAATTTCTGACAAACCTTTTATCAAACTTTTTACAGATTTTTAGCACATTCATTCAAGCCTTCAATTGATGTATAATACATGTCCTATATAAGAACTGATACCCATTGATCAAATATAAAAGTTGATAATAAGGAGATAATTTCAGGCTATAAGATATATAACACGGGTGTTAAAACACGAATATACCATGAGCACATGCTTTGAGGATCAGCGTTGTTTGAACCTACCGCCGAGCACACTTATACATTAAGACCAGTTATACATTCATGATACCGCCGAGCAAGCTCATTGCATCATCGGGTCTGCTTTACCCCCGTGTATAACAAGGGCAAGGGTGTAACCAGCAGTTGTCAAGGGGGTTGTGTTATTATTTGTTGTTTGCATCAATGCGAGCAAAGCGAGGGGATACGGGGGTTCAAACCTGAAAATTTATTATGGTATATTCTAAGCATTTCACTCTAAGCATTTCAGACTATAATTTGTGAATGTTTTCTCAACAAATTTTACAAAATTGCTTTTTTGTGGGGGTGGGATCAATCTCTTATAACGCTGACATGGAAACATGCAGACAAGATTACATTAAAGCAGACTGTTCCCTACACATTGCCCAGAATTGAAATATTTCCTTGCTCCTCGAATAAAACTGATTTTGATTACGATCCTATTGTGCAATAAAAATGATATGGGGAAAATATTCTATACGTGATAGAATTTTTGAAAAGGTTATTCTTTAAATCTGATCCTGTTGCTCTCGATAACAATTGTATCTCCCTAAGTAAGAAGAGTTGCCTTATCACATTGTTACGCAATGCAATTTTCAAGTGTAAACACCATACTGGATAACGTAATAAATCAATCTTATCTCTCATCAGAAATCATTAGAACAAAGGATCTATTGCTGATCAGGAATTGATGAGGCGAATTGATTGATGATGTTTTTCACCTGCTTTGTTTTGTAGTAAATTCTCCCTGAAAGGTTGCTATACTCCAGCTTGATACTCATCTCATGTTTCTGTTTTAACTAGAAAGGAACAGAACAGTGACCCCTCATTATTCACATGCTTCTTTCTTGAAGAATCTCATAAACAATTAGGACATTTAAGGAACAATGCCCGAATAAGGAGAAAGGGTTCTATTGGACATGTTTTAGCGCTTAAACCAGTCATTTGACTGATAACAACGAGACTCAACAATTTAATAAAAGAATTACATCACACAGTATGGAACAAAAGACGACCTGGAAATATCAAAAAAATTGATGAGCAGTGTACTTATGATACACTGGTGATCCACTTGAGTACGCTGGTTACCGAAACACGTTTGTGTGAAAAAATGTCGTGGGGATTCTGCCTACAACGCGTGAAATAAGGAAAAAAGAAAAATCGTATCTTTGACCTTCCGACATTTTGTTACCGTTTTTGGTAACCAACGTAATCGAGTGGATCACCATTATAAATATACGAGTTGTATACAATAAACATGATATATATTGGTTATTACGTAGGGTCAATCTTATTATACTATATATCATGATAATAATTATGATTAGAGGGATCAATAGAGAAGGATCTAAGCAATCTTAAAGCTTAATAACAGATTAATTGAGATAACAATACGGAGAGTCTCAAAACAACAAATTACAAAGGAAATAAATTATTGAATTCAGATTTCCAAAACTACTTGATTTGCAAAAATACTATGCATCCAATTTTAATATGCTTAACTTGTGCTGTCAAAACATAGTGGCATTAAGTAATCTATGTTTTCTCTATTCTGTCAGATTATAAACCAACTATACCACATTCTTAATAGTTCAGCTATTGCTATACCACTTTATTTGAATGCTTAACATAAATATATGAGACAGACCTTGGGAGGTAGAAGTACATTAGGAGGTAGATGGTTTAAAATTACTGGTCAAAAAAGCATAATTAGCTTTGAGAATGGCAGAAATTTTAAATTACGTTTCTGATTATGTGAAGGTGAAATTATGAAGGTGAATACTGTGAAGATGAATATTAAGGTGGAATGATGTATTTTACTTTCCATGAATTTAATCATAAGATATTAAACTATTACATTAACGATGGCAATACAGCAATGCTCCATCATGATATATAAGATATACATATAACAATATGTCACCACTTCTGGTATATGTAGCTGTGTTGACTGCAACTTCTGGTAAATATAACTGTGTTGACTGAAATAAATAAAAAATTATATAAAAAAATAAAAAACATGAAATGGTCCACATGACATATAGTGCCTGAACTAATATTGGCACAGTGCAAATACATGTATATTAGTATATCTATTAAGTGACCATGCAGTTACACGCAAGCAATACCTCCAAGTTTGAAAATTCACACTGAGCCAACACTGCATTAAAACAAGAATAATAATGATTTACATGCCAATCTAACATAGATTTTTCATCTATTGGCATATGTTCTAATAGAAACTAATACACAATTGGAACATAACATAACAGAATATTCATGATTTCTAGAATATTATTCTGCAGCTAAAGGCAAACTTAGCGGAGTAAATAATAATCAACTCGGAATCAACGGAAAAAACATTCAAATTAATAATAAGGAAGATGCAAGATGAAATGCTGGAGTTGCAACTAGCCAATCAAATGAGCCCCGAAGTCCAATATATTGCTAATGGTGCAATCAGGCAGATTTAGCTGGAGAAAGGTTTACGGCTATAAGCACAAATTGGAAATATACCAATGCAGAAGAAACAATAACAATTAGACTCTACTCACTGCAGTATTACATTCTATTTATGATAAATGAAATGGATTTACTAATGTAGACTAAAACAAAGTATACATGCAACATCGGGAAATTAAATATTAGATCTTAAATAAGAGTTTTTACAAGTCTATGATTTACAACATTTATACAGATTTAGTTTGAATCAACTTTGGTCAACTTCTGGATTAAGAGCAAGGAATTGATACCTTCATTAAATCTACTTATATCTAACAAAACAAGGTAAGAAGTTATTGATTTTCGACTTTCTTTTAACAGATTTCAGATTTAAAAGTTTCATTGAAATTGTTCATAACATATAAAAGTGAATTCAAAGCATAATAATAACAAACAATTATGATCTGTGACAGTTCCATATCATTACACATCAGATATTACAATCATTTAATAATAAAAATCATTGAAATGGGTAATTCTTGTGCCTGTTTTTAAATGTGAGACTTTGTAACAAGCAAGGAAATAGCTTACTTTTAGACTTCAAAATAACATTTCAATAAGAAATAACTAAAATTATATTTTCTAAATAAGGTAAGAAGTATATGAGTACATGAGGCGACGCTTGTTTTTATGACAGAAAATTACAACATACATGTATACGTATATGAATAATGAAATATAACATGTACAATACTAAAATGATTTAGGATACCGCTGAGAACTTGGTGAAAAATGGTATTTATTAGGACAGATTTGGCATTTTCCCATTTCATGGGATGACATTATGATAACACTAGGCCGACAATATGACCCCACACTATGTGGTGGGGACATAATAAAATGCTCTTTATTTGATCTTATCCCAAGAGTTTAATCATGCAAAATTTATCCACAATTAGGCCAGGCTGTCAATCAACTTCAAACATTGTTCAATAACTCCCAGATCTGTTGATTTCTTTATTTTTCAAAATTAGATAACCTTGGGTTAGTGAAGTACAATTTTAAAGAGACAAAATTGGGATCATTAAGGAGGAAAAATTGGGATCATTTACGGTTTTGAGGTGGTAAATTGCAAGGATCATTTAAGATAAAAGTTTGAATAATTTTCAATATAATTGATTTATACTTCAAATTTATACATGTACCTTTTTATACCTTTTATTGATGAATACATAAAAAATGTGATGAATCATATGAGCCTATAACCTTCAAATGAAAGTCTACATTGGCTATCAATCTTAAATTTATTCTTCAATACATATTGACTATAGATTGTGACAATGTTACTAAAATGGTGGGGGTAGGAGGGGGGGGGGCATTAGACCCTGTTTCTTTTCATGTTGGATTATTTGGGATAGTTGGGGTTTGTTTTCCTTATCACTGGTGTACTCTTAGATGTTTTATTTTTCTTGGTGTGTTCTGTAATCATTTTTGGTACTTTACTATCAGCATTTGTAGTATTAACATATCTAATACTTCAAATAATAGTCAACTCTCATTATTCTTGGCCTACATGAACATTAAATGTATTTTTAATGAACATTGAATTTTACAAGGTATTCCAATATACCTGAGATGTGAACTTCTATTTTGATAAGATATGTCTTTGTATATCTACAGGGAGTTTTCGAAAATAATTTGCCCTTGCCTTCAACTAAAATAGCATCATTTTACCAATCTTGAGCCCTAGTAGGGCAAATCAATGTGAAACTATGTTTAATTATGTAATCTGAAACTAAAACTAGTCTTGACCTCACGATGGTCTTTAACTTTTTTTATTGACAACCATTGTCTCAATGTCAAAGAAAAATCTCAACAATGTCTTTGTGACGCTTTCCGTCAAATTTTCTTCGCCGCATATTGGAATTTCTCCAGGCTCAATTATATGGATTGTATCAAATTACTATCATTTAATACAATATACAGTAAAACAAATAAAGCAAATAATTCGAAAACCATTGCTTGCGGAGTTTCAGGCTAAAGTGTTATATAGAGGAAATTTAATTTCGCCTTGTCAACATCTCCTAGACTAAGTGAATATGATAAAGATCAATTATCTTTAAATGAAAAAATATTCACAACGCAAATAATAGCGTAGTGGCTAACATAACGTTACAATTGAATATCAACAGACAATTGGATCTGCAAAATAGTCAAATATAGTGGATTTCAGCACATATTAGAAAAGTAAGTTTTAGTGTGAAAATTATAAATAAAGTTCTGTATTTATCCAGTATTTTGCGTCTATATTATTCAAATGGCAGTAAATTAGGAAAACAATTCCACGTCCTCAAGCTGATAGTAGTCTAATTTAGGTTAGGAGGATTAGATACATTATTCCCCATTATAAGCAATCATCTAGTCTTATCTAGTAAAACTACTAATTATTAAATCTATTTACATCATAAATTGTAGAAATCTAGACTTCTATTTGGAATAAACAAAGCGATAGTAGGTTTTACTACTTTGTAGTTTCCGCAATATTCTAATTCAATTTTCTAGTACAGTAATTTTAGTGTAGGATGAGTGTATATCCAAATATATAAATAACTAGTCCAATAAATAAACCTTGTCATTAATATATTCAGTATTAAAATAAATAGAAAAAACAATGTTTTTAAATATTGCACATAAATCGAGTGAAATGGCTATTCTATACAGGGTGGGCCAGGAAACACTCACAATTTTGTTTTGCTACAACATTGTTGATATTACAGACAAATGTATAAACTATATGTCATTGGAAAGACAATTCAATATTCAACAAATTGATATACAACTCATTAAATAGAAATGAGCATTTGTCTTAAAATATCGTTTCGATTACCACAGGGGTCAAAATCATGATTTACCAATAAATTGCTGAATTAAGAATGCTAACAACTGACCAGACAGATATAACCCCTATACAGATTTGGGGATATAATTCTAATTATAGAAGGTCAAAATTGTTGATTTATGTATCAAATTAAAGCAAATTGATTTACAAATGCAATATTATTGAGATCTTTTACCATTTTGATAGGTATTGGTAATAAAGCTTAAATAATGTAGTGAAGTCTGTTTCAAATTGAATATTTACTCAACTAAAACTCAACTCCAATACTTTTTCTAGATATGTCACGCGGTAGTATCTCTTCGGGACGTATCGAAACCACTCCGTCCCGAAAAACCGTTAATTTAAATTTAAAACCTACCCCAGTGTTTGAAAATCAAGGATTGTGGGTCTCACACTTCACCGTTTTTCTTCAAACTTGTTCCGTACAAAGCTTCACAGAAATACCTTTCAGTCGATACATTGTTTTCGTGTACAAAGTACCTCGTTTTAGCGGCGTTTTGGTCCCCAGCTGTGAGATAAAGCAAATTTTCATAACTTTCAACTGTAAGTCAAGTTATATCGCCAGTCTTTTACCCATTCTCGCCCATAATTTCAGAATGGACTCCCATTACAACCTTCCATCGCTACGTCTTGATTTTTGGGCATCAAACGCAGCAGTTTCTAAATCATCCACACATCTCTTCAAATTTGACCAATACGTCCCGTCATCTTCCACTACGCCCCGCCGAGTCTATCACTATACACGTAGAGTTGCATTCTAAAACAATTTGTCCATCGATGTGTCCGTTTGTAGGTTGCCATTGTCGATTCTAAATACCAATCGGATTGTGTTTTAAGATTTACCCATTCTTGTCCATTTTCAATATACCTATAATAGTGTGGTCCAAAATCGGCGGGGCGTAGTGGAAGGTGACGGGACGTATTAGTCAAATTTTAAGAGATGTGTGGATGATTTAGAAACCGCTGCGTTTGATGCCCAAAAATCAAAACGTAGCGATGGAAGCTTGTAATGGGAGTCCATTCTGAAATTATGAGCGAGAATGGGTAAAAGACTGGCGAGATAACTTGACTTACAGTTGAAAGTTATGAAAATTTGCTTTATCTCACAGCTGGGGACCAAAACGCCGCTAAAACGAGGTACTTTGTACACGAAAACAATGTATCGACTGAAAGGTATTTCTGTGAAGCTTTGTACGGAACAAGTTTGAAGAAAAACTGTGAAGTGTGAGACTCACAATCCTTGATTTTCAAACACTGGGGTAGGTTTTAAATTCAAATTAACGGTTTTTCGGGACGGAGTGGTTTCGATACGTCCCGAAGAGATACTACCGCGTGTATGTAAAAGCCTAAAAGTATTGATGAAGCAATGCAATATTATGCAATAAGCTAATAAAACATACAGCAATCTCTTGTTTTCGACGGTTACAACCTCATGATGATGGAAAATCCCATGGAGTCATCAATAGTTATTCATATTTTATGAATTATCATTTTGTTTGAAATTGAATTATCTTTCTAATGATATAAAATTTATGGATATTTCAAACATATCAGTAACAGTATTACAAAAATAAAAATGTGGACGTTTTTTGGCCCACCCTGTAAATTACCCAGCATGCCCAATACTTATGTACTAATGTACTTCATGTTGAATCCATGAATAGTTTGACTCGCTATCTCAATAAGATTCCTTTCCACCTGTACACATGCCTCTGCATCAGCAATTTCAAATATGATTAACAGTGCATTAAAATTGTCTGAGTAGAACATCTTTGGTACCTTTAAAGTGTTCCATTAAGTCAGCTAGTCCTGGGACTCTGAAAAGTGTTTCCCTATAGAGGTAGAGGTGTTCCACTTCTAGAGGTATTCTACTTATGGTATTCTATTCAGTACTAGTGATTGGGGGTAATGTCCAAAGATTCAAGAGGGCAAAATAGTGACTTTCCTTGAATAATTTCGTCAAATATTGCATGAGAAAATTCATCAATCTATTATTGCCTTAACATGATTTTCACTAACTGTTTCTATTCTAACCAAGATATCAGACATACATTTCCAAAACCCGGCAAAGTATTCATGACTTTATTTATTCTAAACTAGATCCAATTGAACAATAAACTTGGTGTAATTTTCAGAAAGTTAGGTGCAGTTTCCACGCAAGGGAAAGCAAAGAATGACTGCAGTAGGTTGTGTTAACATTGCTTCAATTGACACACTGTTATTTGGCAGCAGTTTTATAAAGCACTTGATTGAATAATATTAGGTATCCTGTTATTAAATTGCATAGTATAGCAAATCAAGTGTTTAAAAATTGATATCCCATCCTTAAAATTGAATAACTTGGATAAAGACATGTATTTTAACGTTATATCATTTTATTACATAAAATCAATTGCATATATGGTGATGCGCAAATTCAAGGTAACACACGCTTCATGTTTACAATATCACATTTTACCTTCAGTCTGATATTTAATTTCATTACGGTATGTCCAATTTCTGATAGCAGCTACTAAGAAAATGTAACAAGGACCAGATTTTAAGAGAACAATTAAAAAGAAAACAGGGGAAGAGATGGAAAATACAATAAACAATTAAATACAATAAATGTAGCAAATACTCTAAAAACATAGAAAAGCAAAAGAATTATAGACATTTCATTAAGATTTCAGTTGAATCATGGAAAAGTATGTTTAAGTCTTAGGTAGAATATTAGCACGCCTGGAGAGCTATTTTAAACGAAATGCACTGTTATTGTAGAAGTCATGATGTGAAATGTTAAATACAGGAAGTTAGAAGGTATGTTTATTCAGAATTATTGATATCCACTTAGACCCAGCTTTTAGATACACACTAAACTGTCAGTGAGGATATGAAATATTTTTTCCGTGATTAAGACCAGACATCTATATCTTCATTGCAGTCAATCTCAGTATCATGCTTTTATCTATTTGGACTTATTTTGACAGAATTTTATGAGAAAACGTAATGAGAGCTTAGTATTGCCCTTTGCATTTTGTGTGGAAAATCGTCATGTCAGGTTTACCTTGGTTTCCTGCACTGTTTAGAAATTATAAAAAATTGAAATCTGTTTTACATCTCCATGTTCCCCAAACGTAAAGTATATTTGAAGGAGAGGATGTGAAAGTTGATTTTGTTAGGAGATGAATATATTTAAGGCCAGGAAAAATAGTCTAGCTGTGAAAGTTCATTTTGTTTGGAGAGGAATATATTTAAGGCCAGGAAAAATAGTCTAGCCATGAAAGCTAGCTTTGTTAGGAGATGAATATATTTAAGGCCAGGAAAAATAGTCTAGCTGTGAATGCTAATTTTGTTAGATGAATATATTTAAGGCCAGGAAAAATAATGTAAGAAAAACCAAATAAGAAAAATTAGGACGTTGCATGATATTTCGTCACAGGCGTAGTTGGGTCGAAATTAGTTTCAAAGTTACGATGTAAAAATTAGTATATGTACTATGCATGTCATCTATTACTTGCCCAATGGAAACACCTTGTAATCAAACATATGTTTTATGTTACAAACCTCAAAACATGAAAATCAAATTAAAGATCAATATAAATAGAGTTCAGCATTCAACGATAACATCTGTTGCATGTGCATGTAAAGTCTATTGTTCTCCCAAAGGTATCTTATCTGTGTGGGAATAAAAATGCAAGGTTCAACTTAAAGGATTTAACAATTAGGATTGATCATGCAGGCTTAAATTGATCATGGCTTCACATTCATTGGATTCTGATGTATTCTAGTCATGGAGGTGTTCTACTTATAGAGGTGTTCTACTTATAAAGGTTTTACAGTACTGATAAATGTCTGAACGAACCAAGATGATTATGTGTTACTCCCTTATATGGGCAAGAACATGGTACCTTACTGGATTTACCCATTGATTCAGGTAAATGCCAGAAAGATTCCTTTGAAAAACAAATGGTCAAAAGAATCGCCTATAACCCTGTTATTTTAGAATATCTAAAAGTAGGTTCATATCATGGATCCTTAAAAAGTCATAGTTAAATTCAAAGGTCAAGATAACTTGTCAATGTCTTGTTAAAAGGTTATGATCACCTGAAAACAGGACTTAACTATACAAATATTTACAAAGAAATACCTTAATCAACTAGCTAAATATTTAGGGTTAAAATATAAAATTGGATGTATATTAATAAAACTTTTAGTACTTAATTCCTGAAATACACTTTGCCTCAAATTGTAATAGTTGATTGTAACATGTAATGATTGAAATAAATTAACTTTAAAAATAAATGTACAAAAAATAATGAATTTGAAATAAATTACAATCAATGACATCATTCTTAACTGATATATTTTATGTCACATTAAATACATTTTCTTGTCATATTTTTGTTATAATTCTTTACTATTATTGTTATCTTCGTGACATATGTTGCTACATTCTTTTTAAATTTATATACTTTTATATACTTGGCATGTCTCTAATCATTGGCCTTTGCATATACTAATATGTTTTAATTGTATGCTTTGCAAACTTTATACCATTTGTAAGCAGTTATAATATTCTATTAACTAAATAAACTGAATTTGAAAAAATTATCATAATAGAAAAATTCATGCAAGTTTAGTTCTTGGCATTCTTTGTAAATTATGCCACAGTATGTAGACTGTGCAAGAACTCCAGCTGTTTTTCCTAACTATTTACTGTCAAAGTGGGTATATCAAAGAATGAAATAAAAATAGAGGTTATTTAATGGGGGGATGGAACATGAATTTTATTACAAGGGAAAATTTGATATTGGGCAAGGAAAATATCAAATTGACCGAGGGCGATAGCCCGAGTGTCAATATGATATTTTCCCACCAGGGTGGAGTGACTTTTTCACATCAGCCATTAGCATATGATTTGATCCGTTATTTTCAGATTAATTAATAATTTCTCCTTTGAGGAATGGCACATGGGAAAAAACATGTGACATCATGAATAGTTTGATTGACAACCTGGAAAGACAGGTAAAACTTCAATGGGTCCAGGAGACTGGGCATGTAAGCCATGGCTGTTGATGTGAGATAGTCAGTCGGCTCTGTAGCTCAAGTGGTAGGGCATCTGACATGTAATCGGAAGGTTGTGGGTTTAATTCTAATGAGGGTGGAGTGACTTTTTCACATCAGCCCTTAGCATAGGATTTGATCCGTTGTTTTCAGATTAACTAATTTTCTCAAGGAAAAAATTCATATTCTATCAAGACCATCAATAACCTATTTATTCTATAATTTTCTTAAACTTATTTATTTTTAATTTTGCTATGTCATCACCCAATGATTGTGACATAAAATGATACAATTTATCACATAACATTTTCAACTTTTATTAACAAGTTTTAATTAAAAATATAAATGATTAATAACACTATAGAAATTACCGGGAATAGTTCTGATACGGGACTTTTGCTGATACAGGGTCCAATATGGGATTTTGGCTGATATGGGATCTGATACTGGATTTTTTGAATATCAATGTTATTCCATGTTATTTTCAACGAAATTCTATTACATAGATAAAATAAATATTTCAGGTGTAACATGTGGATTTATGAAAATAAAAAGAATATGTTTCAGTGAGATAACCTTACAATTGAAACATTACTTCTGAATTAATAAAATTCTTATTATCATTTAATGGTCTATGTTATGAAGTGAAAACACGATATCTAATTCAGCGTAATTCTCTGCTTATCGTACTTCATCTTACGACGAATATTAATTTTTAGATTAGGTAACATAAAAGGGCAGAAAGTTGCCTTTAATCTCAAGACAAAGCTACGTAATGGAAAGTGAGCATTAAATCTCTTATCCATATAGCCTATAGGAATATAAATTCTAAGTTCACAAAAGAATATTATTAACTTAGAGATAATTATTCAGGAGAATGTTGATTTTGCTTTCAGAATCCAGAAAATAAAGGAAATGGTCTGCGACACAACCAACTCCAACAATTATTGTGATTCAGGAAGGAGTTTTGCCAAAAGTACACACTGTTAGATGTTGATCATATTGACTACAAAGGAAATCACACCAAGTGAAATTATTGAGGAACAGGACATACCGAGTCAATGGAACCAATTGTTTTGTAAAAAAGACATGTAGGAAATAGGTGAAATAATTGATAATCAAACAAAAATAGACAAAATAGATATTTCTCTATTGATATTCATGACTGGTCGTCGTAATCATCTAAGTGACACATTAATCAAATCGTGGAAAATATTTTCGAAGTGGATTTACATTACTTTGCCGATGCTTTGGAAGATAAATGAACGATTGTGCTAAGGAATAAAGAAAACTGATTACCATGCCAAATATTTCCAAATGATACACTGTAAATCAAAAAAAACATTGCAAAGTGAATCAATAAATAATTCGCTATGGAGCAAGGTGATGATATCCTAGAACTCTTTGATAACGTGACGGAACATGTGATAATGAACAACGACAGTGAAAAAGCACCTATAGTTCTGACTCCTGCACAGCAACAAATTCTAGTATCTCTCAATGTCTATTTGAATGGTGTTTTCTCCAACATTATTGTAGCGTTAGGTATTATTGGCAATATCTTAACAATTGTTGTACTAACAAGGCGTTCAATGAAATCATCAACTAACTCTTTTTTGACAGCTTTAGCAGTATGGGATACATTGGTGCTTGTATGTACAGCATTGATCTTAAGTCTACCTGGGATACCTGGTTTTACATGGTATACTAGTTTTGTACTGGCATACGCTGTATCCTATGCCTACCCGGTAGCCCTGATGGCCCAAATGGCAACAATATGGTTGACTGTTGCCTTCACAGTGGAACGATACATTGCAGTATGTCACCCACTAAAGGCTGCAAGAATGTGTACGATCAAAAGAGCTCGCTTGGTTATCTCTGGCGTATCCATAGCTTCAATTTTATATAATATCCCACGCTGGTTTGAGTTTACACCATTTGAAGAACTTAAACCAGATAATACCACAGATTTCTATAGACCAAATCTTACCCCATTTGGAAAGAACCCCACGTATGTTGAGATCTATTACTCTTGGCTGTACCTTCCTGTAATGTGTATTATCCCCCTGGCTGTCTTGGCAGTAATGAACATATTCTTGATACTCGCTGTCAGGAAATCGTCGCACCAGCGCAAAGACATGAATGTGAAACAATCACGAGAAAATAACGTAACAATTATGTTGGTGTCTGTTGTAATTGTATTCATATTATGCCAAGTACCTGCTCTTGTTTACAATACTGCTTACGCTATAAATAGAAATTTTGTGGAATCAGACTTTGGATGGAAAATTTTATCTATGGTTCGTAATTTCCTAGTTCCGTTCAATTCCTCCATAAACTTTCTATTGTATTGTGCGTTTGGACAGAAGTTTAGAAGCACTTTTATGCAGACCTTCTGCCCATGTTGCGTCAAACACGACTGCAACCGTTCTATTTCAATAATGAACCAACAGAATACATTACGATATTCCCGGATTTCTCGGTCTTCACGCGGAGGCTCCCCTAATCAAGATACAAGCCGAACAACATCGTCTCTGATCAATAGATCATCGCAGGAGTCTACATTAACGTCTGACGGAACTAGCTGCCACTATCATGTTAAACATAATGGTAACAAACGAGCCCTTGACACTCCACAAAAGGACAAACAGCTTCTTATAATAACTAAACACCCAAGAAGTGAAACATTAAGCATTGAAAGTGACACAACCCTTTTGCCACTTGCATCTGAGAATGGCAGTGAAAAAGATGCGCTGTTTGTTTACAAGCAAGACAATTGCAATAACCTCCTAAACAAACCAGACTGAGGAAAATAACAAACTGAGAATTCCATAAAATAGTTTTTAAGGTTGCATTAATTTGATATGGACATATAAGTAAATAGGCTTATGAGTGAATAACCTATATAGATCACTTTCATAACAAGGAGTGAAAAAATGTAGAAGGAAACTTTGAGGTGTCAATCGAAAAACAATATTTTCACAAACAGTTTTCCTACCATATTCTCTGGAATCAGCACCCACTCTCTAATAAGCGTCCATCCCGCTTCACAAAGTTCAAGAAATATCAAGGAATGACCAAGTATTTGTGAATATATCAGAAAAAATTTCTAAAGAAATTTGAGTGGACGATAATAGAGTAGTACTTACATGTATACTAAACTGCTGTAAACGTGACGCATTTTATAATTTGATGCATCCTCTCGATAAATATCTATCATTGAATGCTTCCCAAATCATACTAAACTAATATTATCTCAAAATAGTCCATAATGAATGAAGGAAATGTTCAAATTTAAGAATTCTGATCGGCATTTTAAAAAGATAGTTTCTGCGCAGGATTTCTGTGCATGTCAGAAGATCGCCACATTTCTCATTTTTTATAACATTTCTCGTCTTTAACACAACTTCCAAAATCAAAATGATGATCTATCATGAAATTAAAAAGATAAGGTATAACTTCAAATCGATACCCAACAGTCTCAAGTTAAAATATGGAAGATAATTGGGGAAAAATTCAATTCGAGGGACTCTATTGGAGATTTCTTCCATCACTGTTAACATTATCTAATCTAATTCTTGCAAGATCCTTGTTTTATTTTAACGGTGTTTACTGTTATCTCTCCAATAATAATACATATCATTGTTGTTAAAGTATGCTGTTACTTTGTTATAATGTTGCCAATAAGGCATTCTTGAAATACATGAAATTACGGGGGATTTTTGTCTTTTTACAATACATGGATATTAGAATAATCTGAAGGATGTACGATTTTCAATTTTCTAAAAGCCCTGGGTGCTAATTACAGAGAATATGGTGTATACATTTATGTATTGTATAAGAAAGCTAAATTGCAATAAAATACTGATATTTTTGACATGGTCCATCTACAAATATGTACATGTAGAGTGTAGTAGGGTTTACTGTTTCCATAAAATATGTTTGAGAGTGATATAATGCTATTTTCGTTATTTTATAAACGTGCTTCAGCCAACACATTAAAATGACATTTTCTCAAGCACGAAAATATCAGAATTTATAAACAGAATAAAAATAACTTCTCCTGTAAGAAAAGTATCATATTTATATGTTTGATGAAACATTGACCAAGGGTATTTGTAACCTGGACCTAAATGAAAACAATCTCGCTAAAATGTTTTGCTTTTCATAGGATTCTCGGTGAGTTAACGCTACGTGAGTAAAATGTTACTAATAGCATAATCAAAATAAATAGTTTATACTGTAGATTGATCCAAAAGCTAGCCCCTTTGCTTAGCAATCAGTATTAATATCTTTGTATCAGCGTTAAGAAGAGGCGCCAAGCTAGAGAAATGCAAATCATAGTATCACAAAACAGAACTAGAAAATGACTTTAATATATTAATGTCTGGCTATTTCACTGCCAGCAAAATGTTAAGAATATTAATTTGACTTAATTATGAAAAATATCAACTGTAACTGCTGCAGGAACGAACTCCAATGCAGTGTCTCGGTATAGACACTGCGGCGGGCAGATTATGGAATCCCCAAAATTTGGGGAAGATAGTCCCCCTTTTTGTCACAGATGTACTTGATTTTCATACAACTTATAAAATATATGCTCTTTTATGTTCACCAATCATTATTTTGTCAAAATATTTAAAAATTATTGAAATACGAGAAGAAATCACCCCAGAAGGAATTCTGAGTAAAAGTTTTGTTGATAATAGTTTACCGCACGTGTTGTTTATTAGTTAAAACGCGCAATTCAACCAATGAAATTGTCTAAATTTTACAATCACGCGACCTGCTGAGCATGGGACTAGAACCAATCACGTCAGTTGTTTATTACGAAGTTACCATGCTTACGATGAGATACCTGCCCGCCGCAGTGATATTATCACTGCACGGGAGTTCGCTGCAGGAACTTGGGTGAAATACCACAGCACGAATTTGATCAAATAAAAAGGAAAATTTCCAGGAGTTGAACTCATAGAACTTTTGAAGTTTCTGAGGTTAGGTGGATTGCACCTGTTGCATGATGCCTGTTGCATTTTCAATGATGCAGGGTGTATTTCTTACAGCGCTGGACAGTATATATTATTAGTAATAAGGAGAGATTTGAAAATAGACTTGAAACGTTTTGTTCATCTCAGCATTCTAGCTCAATCTTAGTTAGTGTAAATCTAGTTACTTGAAGATATGATCATGTAATTTGTGATTGACCTGACGTGATGGCTTGTATGTGGATTGTTCAGCAAAGTATAATCTGTTTGAATGACACTTCATTCCAGTTCTCTGACAAGGTAAACACAGAGATCAGAAGTGATGTATTGGGCAGGTTCGCTCTGTTATTTTATCTAATTAAATGATAATTTGGGGTAAAGGATGAGTTGTCCAGGGATGTGTTGCTTGATGTTGAGTTGTCTAGGGGTTGAGTTGTTCAGGAATGAGTTGTCAAGGAGATGAGTTATCACGTAATAGGTTGTCTAGGGATGAGTTATCCTGGGATGAATTGTTCAGGGATAGACCTGTCTAAGAGTTGAGTTGTTCAGGGGTAGAGTTGCCCAAGGGTTGAGTACTCAAAGGACGAATTGTCCAGGAGTTGATTTCTCTAAGGGTTGAATTGTTCAGGGGTAGAGTTGTCCAGGTATAAGGAGTCTATGGGTTGAGTTATTTAAGGATGAGTTATCTAAGAGATGAGTTGTCTAGGGATAAGTTGTCTAGGATATGAGCTATCCTGGGATTAATATTCAGGGTAGAGTTGTCCAAGGGTTGAGCTATCCTGGGATGGATTGTTAGGGAGTTGAGTTCTCTAAGAATTGGTTGTTCAGGGGTAGAATTGCCCAGGGATTGAGTTGTCCAGGGATGATTTGCTCAGGAGTTGATTTCTCTACTGGTTGAGTTGGTCAGGGGTACAGCTATCAGGATATAGGTTGTCAAGGGGGTGACTTATCTTGTGGTTAAGTTGAGCTAAGATGAATTCTTCAGGAGCTGAGTTGATCTAATTCTTAAAAAATGCTAGGACTTTTTCGAAGAATATTTCATTTATCCATAGTTGTGTAAATCCTTTTTTTGAATACAATCACATAGAGCCAGCCATGCTTTAACATATTTTAGAGCTTTTGACTATTCTTAGTAATGTGAAGGTGTAAGTTTTCAAATTGGTTATCTTGTCAATTTCATGATTGTTCAAATCACCCCCCCCCCCTCCTCCCCTACTAAATTATTCAGAACAGCTAAGATTGCCCAGGATATCAATATAAAGGTCACTTAGTTAGCATTCTACAGTGATTGCTATTTTATGACTCATTTAAATATAAAAAATAGTACCCAAACTCATTTCAATCAATTGGCCATAAAATAGCAATCAAATTGTCATCTGTCAGTCAAAAGCTGAATTTGTGAATGCTCGTCTTGAGACTTGCACTTGTAGTTGAATTTTATCTCTTGATATAAAACCTTTGAAGTAACAAATGTATGAAATGGATTTAAGCACAGCAATCAATCAACTGTGTCTTTAGTAATGCACTACTTTCATTGTATGCTACCACATGCAAACAAAAATGCATGCATTACTTAGAGCCACAATTGAATGGCTGATTGAATCCTTATATTTTCTGGATTCATTGGAATGCTACTTGCATTTGACATGTCATTTTTGTGAGATATCGAGCTTATAAAAATAAAAGCTTAAATTGACAATTGATCTGGTTGTGAAGCTTGATATATTGAATTAGTAATTGAGTGGAATTGAGCATACTCTTATATACTCGTATATTACTGATGATTTTCATTCATATCACACAACTGGAATTCATCAGACAATAATTCGATGTTATAGAATATACACAGCATATGTTTTACTGCGACTGGAATTTATATATAAATATCTAAAAAACTCAACTTTGTTCTTCTATTGAACAATCTTACTGATTACAGTGCTATCTGCAAACATACATATACAACTAATAAAATGTGAGTTTGTTCCCAGTATTATTGACAATTTTTGAAATAGGATGTACATAGTGTTCAGTATAAATATTGTATATAATAGGCTATACATGTATATTGTATCATTAATTGTTACAACAATAAAGCTGTTCAGATTGCATGGATATTAATAAATTATATAAATATAAACTTATATCAATAGTTGCTTGTTCAATACTGCAGGACATCAGGGGTGTATTAAATGATACTACTACTTCCCGGTGAATAACACCTGAGAATATTTTTGATATTGAAAAAATTGTAGTTTCCATATTTCTTCATATTTTTTGTTTGTATCTAGTCAAGCCCATGATATAGTTAAGGTATTTTCTCAAGAGTTCTACCATAAATAATGTGACAAAAATGTGAAATTAGACTCCGGAAAAAACACTTTAGACTCCGGAAAAGCTATTGAACTCTGGAGCAAGAGGATTTAAAGAAGTTAGACTCCAGAGAATCTCTGGAGTCTAAAAGCCTAGTGAGAATCCTGGTATGTATATATAAAGTTTCAAACAACACCTTGGAGGAATGATTCAATCCACAGTGCACTGAGTCCAGAGCTTAAATCCTTAATCGACTAAGATGCGAGTAGAAATAATCTTGATTTGTGTCATTAAATATTCAAAATTCAGTCAAAGTGATATCATATTTGAAATATACATGTAAAAGAAAATCTAGAAATATGGTTTCGAAAATTGTTTATCATCCTTGAATTTTTTTTTTTGAAAATGTGACTTGTAGTTTGGGTTGATTCCCCATAGACCCCATGTTAAAAAATCACAAAAAATGATATATCTTTCCTTGTATAGGAAAGATAACATTTTCTTTTACTGGAGATATTTTAATTTGCATAACTATTAGATAAATAAGGGTAATATGAAAATCAAACCACTAAAACAGATGTAATTTAAGTTAAAGGGAACTTTTACTATGCCCGCCATGCTATCTGACCCGAATGAGCCACCTGGTGGTGAAACTGGTAATTACTTACTCGCATCTGCGTTATAAAGTTGTCATATTTATTGTTAAGACAACTGGATCCATGAATCCTATTTAAATATCCTTCAACTCATCAGCGTTAATTCTTTACTTACACAGGAGTTCAGTTTCACTA